GGGAGAGCTTTCCCCATTTAATCCTTCCTTGATGGACTCTCTCAGTTTCTTGGACTGGGTTTGACAGCGCCATGTTGTTATTTCAGGAATCTGTTACAATATAATAAGCTAAATCATTGTAGAATTATGTCTGTGACTCTTATCTTTGTAAAATCTTATTTCTATCTATTTTTGTACCTGAAAACCTGGAAATTTAATGCACTCTCTCATGTGTACTTGTGCCTTGCAGTTAAGTTTCCTTGATTCCTGAACCATGTTCCCTTTTTTAACTCTCTTAAAAGAGTGATCCCCAACCTGCAATGTAATGAAAGAAAAATTACTGTAGACATGGTTATCATAAATATAATGTAGCGGTGAATATTATTATTAATGTGCAAAGTATTTTGTGACATGAAAAAAATTATTGCTTACCGTATTACTTCTTTTTTTAACACTCAAATGTCGGTCAACTCCGTGCTGGCAGTCATATACTCTGTGATTAACGACAATGAAAGAGGCGCGTTGTCGAAAGGCAAATAATCTGTTTCCCACATGACCTTGTGATTTTCACGTCTAGCATCTACAAAATTTTGTTTTTAAATTCTGCAGCCAATTTTTTTTGTATTTCCATTCTCATTAATTAACCAATATTTTCAACGTGACAATTGAGTCTTAATTGGTTAACCAGCGTTTTTTTGTGTTTTAATAAAACTCCCACTCTTTAGGAGTGTTCATTATTTTTGGTTTGGGCGGGGGGTCACTAAAGTTTTTGTTTTTTTTTCTTGGGGGAGGGGTGATGGCAGTTTTGCTGTTGCCGGAGGGGGGTCATGCAGATATTGAGAGGGAGGCGTGAAATGCCCCCCCCCCGAAACCATAAATAATGAACACTCCCTTAGCCCCATCTTAGCCAATTTAATCATAGGAATCCCAATAAAACTTATGCTTCGTATATTCCCCCTTCTTCCTGGAGGTTTACAAATAGTTTTTGGAAGACCTTACCTGTGCTTCCGAATCCTTGATTTTGCTTGATACAAGCGAAATTTGTGGTACTTAGCAACTCATATTGGTGCAATAGTTCTTCTGCAGCTTGTACCTCACGTACAAGTCCTGATCGATCGGACAACTGAATGTCGAACAGGGAAGTTATCAATTCAAGATCTATACTTTCTGCTGACATAGTTGTTCTTAAAAGAGCAGTTTTCAAAAATAAAATATTCCAATCTATTAATGCAAGTCCACAATCGAACCGATTAAAAGTCAATGTTTACATTTGCATTTCGCGCATTTGAAAAATCGCGGGAACGAGTGTTTCCACTCTTCAAAAATATTTTCCTATTCTCTATATTACTGGGAATTTCTTGCTTGAACAAAATAAAATAAAAATGCCCTTTCCAAAATTGTTACATTCCCTAACGAAGATAAATTTATTTTATTGATACAATAGAAACACATATTAATTTATCGGAGATAACAGTAAGTTTTTTAGCTACTAGTGACGCGGTGACGACGCCGTCAAAAGCAGTGGAAGCTTCGAAACTAAGTAACTATACACTGTATTCCTAAAATTGCACATTTGATTGATTTGTAATCAAACTTTTAATGAATAGTCGGTATAGCCCAGCTTCATTCAATTTTAAAGATAGAAAATCCGACTATTTGGTGAAATTCCCATTCAATTGATCAATTCCTTCGCTCACATTGTTTTATACACACAAGCATTCGCGCATATTGACACACAAATTCCACGAAATCCGTGGGACTATCTTCGGCGTTTGGAAATCAACCTTCGTAGCGAATTTCCGAAGGCACCTTGGTTTGACGGATGTCCGATTGCGCATTCCGGGTTGGTTTTCGTACCAAACAGCATCATGGAGGGCAACATTTGATTTAGGAAGTTGGAAAAATACTGTGCATTTAGGATTGAGGTTCGAAACATACAACTTCAAACTGGCAAATGCGTAATCTCTCGCTTCCGTGCTGTACATTCTTGTTTCTCTTTCGTGAGAGGGCTTGCTATTTTCACCACCAGGATGATTTTTTGTTGCTTCGTCATGGTTCATTGCGGCATATTCGCAACCATTTTCGTCTTGGCAGAATTGAAAGCTGTCCTAGCAGAGGTTCTTTGTCCTTCACATATAAACCTTCACCAATAAAGAGATACAAAAAACCATGTTCGTGTTAGTAGACCATTCGGATTATCCATGGCTAGGTATGTACTTGTTTTAATTTTCTTCAGGTAGGATTGAACAATTATGGGCTTGTGCTTTACGTTTTCATTCCCAGCATGAAGATTAATTTTTAGTTTAGCATCGAGAATTTTGTTGCTCTGTTGAAATTGGTGTTTTTTTGTTATTTTTACTGACTTTCCGTTATTATTTATGAAACGTTCAATCAGGGACGTGCTGGGGGGGGGGGGGGGGGGGGGGGGGGGGGGTGTTACACCCTCAGTTTTCTCTTGGTTTGTCGGTAAAATCGGAAAAGTGAAGGCTTGTCGGTAAACTAGTTAATTCATCGTCGGTAAAATACTAAAATGAGAAGTAACAAAAAAATTATTAAAACTGAAGCAATTATTCTGCAATTTCATCTGGTATTTCGTTGGTCAATCAAAAATTCAAGATTTCTTCTGGCGATTAAATGCTCGATCATGTGTAACAGAATAATGTGTATTGAGAAATATGTTATTCGATAGGGGTTTTACATTGATATCCTGTGGTCAATTAAATTGCGTCAGCACGCGCTGTGCTAATCCTGTATTTGCGTAATGTATCTGCCAACAATAATATCACATATAATTTGATAATCGATGCGCAATTTAATAGCATTCACCAGCTCACCGGATTGTGTATTTGTGTAAATTATACAACATCGCATTTCAAAATCGTTATGGTCATCGGTTCTTTCGCGCAATTGCTTTTAGCTGAATGAACAAAAATTATATGTATATATTAATTATATATAAGCACTAAAATATAAAGCATAGACAAATAATAAACCTATTTGCACATTTAGAATCAGAATATAATCGCCTTAAATCAACATCTTTCATGTAACGTACTACGTAATTTATGCTTGTCTAATTCTTGTGTGACAAATTTTGTAAATTAAAAATAAACTTGTACACATAGCGCGTCACATACTATGATACATACGCGTCGAGTGACTCGCGTACAGCACATCTTAGTGATCTTACACATTTCTGGCATTTTGAAAAAGCAAACTGTCACGATACGATTGTGTGAGCATCTAGTGAATTTGCATTATTTACGGGTGGGCCAAATGGCCAATGACAACACTGTGGTAAGCACTCCCTTCTGTATCGGCGGTATTGCCCACGATTTGCGTACCGGTAGTAGATGTAAATTATGTGTCAAGAACTGTGTTTATCTTATATTATACTATAATATGTTATTGTTAAGAGTCCGTCTCTGTAATTTCCGACCACTCGATACTGGTTCAAAAATAAACCCAGCCTTAAACTTTGTGTGTGGATTAAGAAACCCTTGCTTATCATCAATACAAAAGGGGTTTGTTTCAAATTTCAAAAGATTTCGATATTTGGGCAATTTTACGTGTGTACGTCGAAGCACGAAATTAGCATCGCTGCAACACACAAAAATTAGTCATCTTTGTCACGTTCTCGCCCTCTGAAAAATGATTCAATCCGAGATATACTCTGCAGGCCTGCAGTTTATTACACTAGCTCAGCATTTATGAACTCAAACTTTGGATGTCTTAAAACAACTTGGAGATAGTGCCGACTATAAATACGCGGCTAATCGACCGGGTGAAAAAGTAGCATTTCTAAATATATATTTTCTCCATACTGGCACAACTCTACTTATCAAGAGTTGTACACGCTTAAGTTTCGAATAACAGCACTAGTTTCCGTAAAAACATCCATGGCTATCATCACTGGGACAAAATAAAACAAATTTGAAATGTGAGGATTTTACATACCTGTGCACGCTAGTTACGGCAATTTACATTCATAATTATCCGCTACAAATCGTAAAACAATCGCACATCAAATAGCTCGGAACAGTGGCTAATACTGCAAAATGTGTTGAAGTCAAGTGTCATTGTGTCAAGATGTAATGCGAGACTGTAGAAAGTCTCGCTTCATCATCTCCTTGCCGATACAGCGGCGCCACGTTTATAGTCGTTTTATTACAACTGTAATTCTATCCATCCTCCAAATTTGAATCCACAAAGAAAACAGGATCCTCCAGAGTACATAACAGCATAACTGTATTCAAATGCAGGCTGGCTGTATAAACTGTTCAAAGTCCATGATGTCCATCTAATTTGCAACAAATTCAATGCGACGTTTCATAGTATTTTGACATTTACGTTATCTGATAAACAAGTTTGTGCCAGTGCTTCCACAACCACCTCTTCAGATGTCCTTTCACATTCAATTTCATAATCTCAAAATTTCTCCGCCACCGAAGACAAAAGAAAGAAAATTCAGGCAAATTTGAGTCAATTTATCATAGCACATGTTTTAAAATTAAGTCATACTGTAAGTACCCTCGATGTAGCCCCGGCGCAATGCTTGGCCCCAAGTGGGTCACATCCATTTTCGCTTTTGCATATATTAAACAGCGATAATTACACATCTTAGCGCAAAATGTGTTGAAGTCAAGTGTCGTTGTGTTGAGAACACTTTCAAGGATTTCTTTATGTTGCGAGACTGTGGAAAGAAAGACGCTTCATCACCTCCATGCCGATACAGCGGCGCTATGTTTATGGCTGCTATCCAACTTCCAAAGCGGCCATAAAAACACAAAACAGCGTCCTCCATAGACATAATTTTACTCGAATGCAGGCTGTACAAACTGCATGAAGATGATGCATTTGTAACAAATTGAATGGGAACTTTATTTTGACATTGCGTTCTTTCTAATGATAAACAAACTTGCCAATTTTCGCCTTGTTTACAGTCGCTTGCAACTAGAGGTGAACAGTTGCGGTCGCGGATAAAAAATTGTCTATTCGCGTGAGAATCTTTATTACCATTTGCAAGCAACCGTTCGGCCCAAACATTTTTACGCGTTGTTTTACACTTGAAACATGCACTGGAAAATCCGCATGCTTTTTCGTGAATATTATAGAAACCACAGTTTGAACTTTGACTAGAACTAGCCATTGCTATAAAGGATATTAACGAACTGTCCTCAGTGCTTCCACTTCCTTTTGCAAGCTTGTCTAAAATTTCAGGTAATGTAATTATATTTTCGAAGTTTATGCGTGGACTCGTCTGCGTCGAAACAGAGAGCTTTATATATTGATTAATACTGTCGATTCTTTGCGCTAAAATGTGTAATTATCGCTGTTTAATATATGCAAAAGCGCAAATGGATGTGACCTACTTGGGGCCAAGCATTGCGCCGGGGCTGCATCGACGGTACTTACAGTACAACTTAATTTTAAAACATGTGTTGTGATAAATTGACTCAAATTTGCCTGAATTTTCTTTCTTTTGTCTTCGGTGGCAGAGAAATTTTGAGATTAT